ATGTCTATCGATCTAATTTTGTCTCTTCACATCTATCTATCTATCTATCTATCTATCTATCTATCTATCTATCTATCTATATGTTTTAGTCTGTTCATATCTATCTATCTATCTATTTATCTATCTATCTATATATATATATATGTACATATTTTAGTCTGTTCATATCTATCTATCTCTCTCTCTCTCTCTCTCTCTCTATATATATATATATATATATATATATATATATGCATATATGTAGATATTTCAGTTTGTTCATGTCTATCGATCTAATTTTGTCTCTTCACATCTATCTATCTATCTATCTATCTCTATCTCTCTATATATATATATGTACATATTTTAGTCTGTTCATATCTGTCTATCTATCTAAATATATGTACATATTTTAGTCTGTTCATATCTCTCTCTCTCTCTCTCTCTCTATATATATATATATATATATATATATATCAATCTGTTCATATCTATCTATCGATCTATCTATCCAATTATTTGTATATGGAACAATGTGTTTCAAAGTTTTAATATTTTGCTGACTTTAGCCAATTTCGCAACTGTAGCTCTACGAATAAGATAGCAGATAAATAATGGATAGATAGATAGATAGATAGACAGATCGATCGATCGAACAATTTCGTGCACCTTAACATATGTGAAATACAGCAAAGCAAAGATAAAAAAAAAAGTCAGATCCAAACTTTAATTTTCCTCAAACGATTCTTTTGTCTGGCTTTCTATAGAATTTCCACCTCGACTTCTAAGTCTCGACTAACTTCTTTTGTATGTTATTATTATTATTATTATTTTAATCCCGAACGCGTTGCCTTCTCAGACAGACACAACAGAAACAATCGCTCACCGTAAACAATGACCCGCCTCTTTCATCTTTCTATTTCGGTATAAGTTCAAGTAGTTTGGCTCACAGAGAATCATTCGCCGCCAAAAGATGAAGAAAATCTGGCATTCAAGACATTATTTATGAAAAAAAATAAAAAAAATAACTAATCTTCTTCTTACTATCATAGTCTGACGCCGACTTAACCTTTTACATTTTCGTTTTAAAATGCTTATAAAAACAACTGAAGATAGACAAAAATAAAACTAGATAAAGAATTAGTTTGAAAAAAAAAAGCTAATTATGAGAACACTTGGAATATTTGATAATAATGATTAGTTGCTGTTTTTTATGACAAGAAAAGTCCAATGAGAAACTCGTTTTCAAGAGTTGAAAAATTAAAAAAAAATCACGCACACAGATGGTTAAATTTGTAGATTGTATAATATAATATATAAAACGTATACAGTAAACATATTCCCACATTTTTACTACAGTGTAATCCCATTTGATGACAAAGGAACGTAACTCCTCCACTACTGAATATATTTGACGTACGTAAGAAATCAATTGTAATTTCTACTCTTAATCTGATAACTGACTCTATGATGAACTTGAGGAGATTTAAATTCGTTATTAAATTTGTTGTAACATACCTACGGACGATAATGGGTATGTCCCCATTCGCATAAATACAGTAGTAAATACTGGTCTGTAGTCGGAGATTCATTTTGGAATTCACTTGACTCACTTCTAGCAGCTGACTACTTCTTCTACGCGCCGCTGGCGAAACATATACACCGCGTGACAAATTATTATCGAGATAACTTTTTTTCTAATATTTCAAACACCGTCCAATCAATTCACACAAAATTTTCACACACCGTTGGCAACATTGACCCCCCCCCAAAAAAAATCAATAAGCTGGTGGCCTACCGAGCTGTTGTAATCTCGACTCTCCTGTAAACCTGTGACATATGGGAACTCTGCTTGAAAGATGCCATCAAATGAAACGGCGTCAAATACTGCGGACTACGTGACAGGACCGGATCACAAACAGCGAAAATTCACCTCCGCGCAAAGATGGAGAACCTAAAAACCATCATAACTCGACACCGACTTCGAATGGGGCGGAAACCACCTTATCCGAATACTCGCTATCCGCCTAACCAAAAAAATCATCTCCACAGAGCGTACATCTAGAACGAGACCACGTGGTGCCCCACGTTATTGATTCAAGGATCAGCTCAAAATCACCTGACTGAGGACAGAAATTGAAACGGTCCATCACAACTCGACACCGACTTCGAATGGGTCGGACACCACCTTGCCCGAATACAAGCCACCCGCCTAACCAAACAAATCATCTCCACAGGGCGTACATCTGGAACGAGACCACGTGGAGTTCCACCTCGTTGATTCAAGGATCAGCTCAAAATCACCTGACTGAGGACAGAAATCGAAACGGTCCATCACAACTCGACACCGACTTCGAATGGGTCGGACACCACCTTGCCTGAATACTAGCCACCCGCCTAACGAAACAAATCATCTTCACAGGGCGTACATCTGGAACGAGACCACGTGGAGTCCCACCTCGTTGATTCAAGGATCAGCTCAAAATCACCTGACTGAGGACAGAAATCGAAACGGTCCATCACAACTCGACACCGACTTCGAATGGGTCGGACACAACCTTGCCCGAATACTAGCCACCCGCCTAACCAAACAAATCATCTCCACAGGGCGTACATCTGGAACGAGACCACGTGGAGTCCCACCTCGTTGATTCAAGGATCAGCTCAAAATCACCTGACTGAGGACAGAAATCGAAACGGTCCATTATGAGACGGAAGCTGCAGAGAGAACCAATTGGAGAAGAACAGACCATGAATGAAACAACATCCTTTAAAAATACCAGAAAACAAATAAAAGATGAAGAGAGCCCAAAGAAAAGTCAGAGCTCTGCATCCCCTGAATTTCCTTGTCTCTTCAGAGACAAAATTAGGCCTTTTTTTGTACAGACGGAAATGTCGATGAGCACCCGAATACTCAACGAGGACCTCCATCGACAACAACTGAATTAAAAAAAAATATTGGAAACCTATAAACATTATGTCGTTGTGTGTAGAAAAAGCCATTAACATTCTAAATCGTGTTAGGACAAGACTCTTTCTTTGAGAGCTTAGTCTTACGACCACATCACCATGGAAGTTAAGCAACGTCGAGCCTGGTTAGTACCTAGATGGGTGAACTCTTGGGAATATCAGGTACTGTAAGTTAGAATGTGCTAATGACTTGGAATTGTTAATCAAAGAGCCAAATTCCAATTTCCGCTGGGTTCATTATATTCACTTACGCACATAACCTTGGGAAAGGTCCACCACTTCTCCTCCAGCTATGGGTTAATTAGTAATACTTTTGTTACTTAGTAAGATTATCTGGCGTTGAGATAACCTGAAAGGAGCTGATAAACCATAAAAACGAATAAATCAATCAATCTTTGAGATCTTCATGGTGTTAACATTATGTTTCGGCTGGTCCATTCTTTAGTCTCCCCCAGGCGAAAATACCGTTCTGGGTAAGACGTTAAACTACATCCAAGTCCTGGGTAAGACGTTAAACTACGTTCAGCAGCAAGGCCTCTTATCAGGAGGCTTTGAGGAGCGTGGGACCACCTCCCAATTGCTGGTGTTCACAGGTCCACCCTGGCCCGGGGTGGTAGCACCTGTTAGGTTCCCAACTATGGGCAAATAGTTAACTATTACCAGCAATACTTTTTGAAAAAAAATTATTACCAGCAATACAATTTAACCCATTGAGGTTGAAGGAACCCATGGAGATTGATATGCCGTAAAACAAAAGAAATATATTAACCAAAGAAAACAGATTTTTTGAATCTATCCTAAAATAAAAAACAAAATATGCCGTAAAACAAAATAAACCAAAAAATTTTTGCCGGCAGTTAAAATGGCCCATTGAGGTAAAACAAAATAAACCAAACCAATCTAAACCAAAGATATATCCTAAAAATGTTGTCGGCATTAAAAAACCCAAGGTTGAAACAAAAACAAAATAAACCAAAAACCAATCTAAACAAAAAGCATTAAATACATTGAGGTTGATACTCTATTCATATTCGAATCTATCCCTAAAAATGTTGTCGGCATTAAATAACCCATTGAGATTTATATGCCGTAAAAAAAAATAAACCAATCTAAACCAAAGAATACATATTCATACGAATCTAAAATTCATTAAATAACCCATGAATCTATCCGTAAAACAAAAGAAAAAAATGTTATTCATATGCATTAAAAAACGGGATTAAATAACCCATTGAGGTTGATATGCCGTAAAACAAAATAAAAAACCAATCTAAACCCAAACCAATCTAAAAAAAAAAAAAGAATACATAAACCAAAGAATACATATTCATTCACGAATCTATCCCTTAAAAATGTTGTCAGCATTAAATAACCCATTGAGGTTGATATGTTGATATGCAAAAAAACCAAAAAAAATAAATTTCTATTCAAACCAATCTAAACCAAAGAATGCCGTAAAACAAAATATTTACTATTCATACGAATCTATCCTAAAAATGTTGTCGGCATTAAATAACCCATTGAGGTTGATATGCCGTAAAACAAAAAAACAAAAATCTAAACCAAAGAAACATAATTCATACGAAACCATAAAAAAGCATTAAATACATATTTGCCGTAAAAAACAAAAAGAAACCAAACCAATCATGCAAAGAATCTATTCATATGAAAAAATGTTGTCGGCATTAAATAACCCATTGAGGTTGATATGCCGTAAAACAAAATAAACCAAACCAATCTAAACCAAAGAATACATATTCTATTCATGCGAATCTATCCTAAAAAAATGTTGTCGGCATTAAATAACCCATTGAGGTTGATATGCGGCATTAAAAAACAAAAGAAACCAAACCAATCTAAACCAAAGAATACATATTCTATTCATATGAATCTATCCTAAAAAATGTTGTCGGCATTAAATAACCCATTGAGGTTGATATGCCGTAAAACAAAAATAAACCAAACCAATATAAATCTAAACCAAAGAATACATATTCTATTCATACGAATCTATCCTCGGCATTAAAAAATGTTGTCCGTAAAAATTAAATAACCCATTGAGGTTGATATGCCGTAAAACCAATCTAAAAAATAAAAACCAAACGTAAAACAAAATCTAAACCAAAGAATACATATTCTATTCATACGAATCTATCCTAAAATATTGTCGGCATTAAATAACCCATTGAGGTTGATATGCCTAAAAACAAA